GGGTTATGAGAGAATGTGATGTCGCTTATGGAATTTCTGCATAACCGCCAGCTCGGTTGATATAGTCAACGCGCTTTTATGGCCGAAAGCTGGAAGTTAAGAGCTAAATGCTAGCAGCTAACAGCTAATAGCTAACAGCCAACAGCGAGCAAGTGCAGGTCCGGGTAATGAGCTGACATGGAACATGTTAGGCATGTTAGAATTCGCCGCTTGATGGCAGCTCAGAAATAAGCCATATCTTGTACGATTTATGCCCCAAGTTACTGGGGTCAACTATGCGTGAGCCGCCAATTAAAAAGTATGGCGCACTTAGAGAATGTCCTGATCAAATTTTATACAGAGCTCTGTTACATTTTACAGCATTTCAGAAGCTGGGAACAGCAATAGGTTTTTTTAAAATAATTTTAGATGGGCAAACTTAAAAAGTATACTTCAAGTGCAAAGGTTTTACCTAGAGTTAGCCAAAGAAAGACATCCAACACAGTGTTTAGTGCTTTAATTAAGCCCAACAAAATTCTGGTCATTCCAAACTGAAACCAGCACAGCAGGAGTCCCAGCCAGTGGATCATGTTCGAAAACACAACTCCATCGCATAGCACCCAAGCTCAAAGCTCAAAAGAATCCGCAAATCAGAGCTCCTAACCATATTTGCCGAACTTAACGATTGCATCAACATTTTTGCGCTCACTCGTTACAGATTTCGTGGGGGTCTTATGACAATGCCTTGTCCGCGGAATGCTTTAAATGCACTCACGCAGTCGGCCGAGCGATTTTAATTCAGTGAAAACCATTTGATGGAATTTCGACAGGGAATTTGGAATTGGAATGACCAAACACCTTCTGGCTCCATCTTAACACATCGTAAACAACCCGCCGAGAAACTAGTCGCTACATAAATCAAACCGCAGCTGCCGAACCCGGGCCAAGACCTTTACTCTCACTTTTCCCCGTTCCAGCTGATCCATCCGAGGAAAAGGCGGAAACAAGAAGCGCGGGCGTATCTAAACATGTCCGGCATTAATATGCAAATCGATGGACCCATCATAAAGCGAAGTAGAAAACACACCAAAACATCTTCGATATGTGTCACTGTGTCGATGTCCGTCCGACCCGGCTAACCAAGTGGTCAGAGCCAGTTCCGGGATGCAAGAAGCCGCTTGGAGGGAAGCGCGTGATGGCAGTGAAATACAAGTAACATGAGTTTGGTGAAAATCTTCAGGCAGCATGGGAGGAATTCAAGTTTACAGCATTTTTACAATACTGCTTTTTAATGGATTTTCGCTTATGCTAAGTTGTGGAAATTGCAATCGAAGCTGAGAAAAGTGTTGTAAAACCATCAAGAAAAGATTCAGAGTGGTATCTTTGCATAAATATCATATACAAAGATTCAGGTATGGTGTAATAATAAATATTAGGAAAAATACACTATTCAACCGTTTTGTTACCTTTCACGCCATCATCTCTATGGAAAGACCTGCCAGCAGTCGAAATACAAAACGAAGAGCAAAGCCAACCGGACCGGACCAAGCCAAACCGAACTGCCCCGTCAGCGACAGCATCTTAAGCTCATTTGTCACATAAAAATCATATATGTAATTTGCTTGACATCCAAAAGTGGACACCGAACGTCACGCGCCGCTGCAGCAAAACGCCTCCATATTGGTGTAGGCTTTTGGCCAAGAGAAAGGCTCGGGATGGGGAAGCTGGAGCGTTGTGGAGCAGGGAGCAGGGCGCAGGGAGTTGGGAGCTGGAAGCGTTCACGGCGATGATGGCATCCAGAGGCGTCCAGCTTCAAACTCAGCGGCGCATGCGTTTTGGTGTCGCGTCGAGTAAGCGTTTCCTTAAATTAGCTGCACTTTGGAGGCACCATTATGCGCCGCTCGCCCAGGCACTTGATGTGGTGTCGTTGTGGACTTGGTCAACGGCGCGCTCCTGAGAGCCGTCATCTGCGTCATCATGGCCATTTTTGGGTGGGCATTAAGTGCCGGGCTCTCTGATGGAGTGTTGATGCCAGCCGAGGTCAGTTGGTAAGAAATTTATAGCCCCGCAATGTTTGCATGATGCATGGCACTGCTGCCCCAGCATTTAGGTGGGCGCAATTGAGTTGGATCATAATGTGCCACACAAGGGAAATTACCCGGAGCCATCCCAAGACTAGCTTTCTGTCAAAAGCAATTTACGGAGCTGATGGAGTGAGAATATTTCGGGTAAAAATCAAGCAAATTAATCAGTTTTAGGGTGCTTTGAGAACGATATGTTTCGATATGTGGGAGTTTCCAAACTAACGCTACAATGCATCGGTACAAGATACAAATTTACAACGGAGTTGTGTATCTTTCTTTCAAGATTTCACGGATAACGGTTTTTTAAGATGGTTTTGGGAATACCACAAAGTTGTCTTTACATAAATCATTTTTACGAGTCCTAATGTGAATCTAATGCTAATCCGATTTGATATTTTTGAAAATAAAGTAAATTAAACTTTTTATTACACATTCCTTTAAGTAAGATTTCTGACTCTTTTTTTTCAATATATATTAAGAGTTCTATATTGAATCTTGAGCTAAAGAACTTAATTCTCGACTATAACTTCAGACCTTGGGAATTCCGACAGTAATAAGATAAGAGATAATTCAGAGTCGAAACAAATAAGCCCAATCAATTAACCATCTATTTTCCACTTGACTTGCAACTTGGAGCTCTGGAAACTTGGAGCTTCCTCGTTGCACCTGGGAGAGTGGGGATGAAGAAAAACTAACTCTTACTCTCCGCATCCGGTTCCCAGCGAGGGGCACAGCTTCGGTAGAACCGTTTAAGCAATCCATTTAAACAACTCGACACTTCAAAGCGAAGCTGCTGAATGTCTATCTGCGCTAAATGGAAAAGCCCTCAACGGCTTAGGCAAACATTTGCAATTACAATTTTAGCATATAATTGCAAACATGATAAACACTTTTATCTGCGGCTGCTGTTCACTCTCGGTTCTCCACAGCAATGCCAATCCGACAATGCAATGCAATGCCATGTAATGCGAGGCCATCTCGAGGCGAGTTGGGCCACTCGGGCCAGAAGCTGGACAGGAGCGGGACCAGGACCAGTCTGGGCACAACTCACGCAGCACCGGCAGGTTAGCCCGAGCTGCCAAGAAGAAGCGTGTCGCCAATTCGTGAGGTTTACCTAGAAAAATGTCGCGACAATTGTGGCCGCAAAAAGGAAAACCCAACGGAACGAACAAAAGACCAACGACGGTAGTAGCCATTCAGAGATGGGCAGCTGGCTAGAACTGGAAATGGGAGTAAAATAGTGCCAAAAGCAAAGTTTAACACTGCTTTTGGTTATTCTTAAGTCTGAAATCATATTTTCATCATCATTTGGGCATAAAAATTAAACCTATTCAAAGCATCTAGTCTTTGAACATGAAAATGATCAATGAAGTCGATTTCTTGGTTCCTTCCTGAATGTGAAATAGCATTTTGGCGTTTTATAGCTTTGCTTTGAAACCGAGCTTCAGCTCAAAAGTATAAGTGAGCACTTCCCAGCCACTTTTAGCGGCCCGAGCTGAAGGAAAGGCTTTGGAGCTGGCGGAGTATGCAATTGAAATTGAAGAATTACGCGAAGAATGTCAGCGAACATAGTAAATGTTGTACACATGGCCCAGCCCGCAGGCAGTGGATCCCGATCTGGCCAGAGGGTCGCATACATTAAGGCCGGTTTTCAGGACGGGATGGGGCTCATGCTCCCAGATAGATAGATGGACGTACTCGCAGGGCGGGGAATTGTCACTGGCGGCTAAGTGATCTACAGCTGATCGGAGGAGTCGTGAAACGAGTGGTGGGTAGTAGCTGGAGCAACCCCCGCCATCAGTTTTTCCTTGATTCTGTGGCGGCATCTAAATGAACTGGAGATCAACTGGATTTTAGTAGCCTTAGCCTCATTACGAATGGAAATGATGATGGACAATAATGACGCGACAACAGGAAGTCCAAGTCGGCGCTGCAATGCCGACGACGACAAGTCGTCAACTTTGCTCGATTCCCCTCCACTACGCTGCTCCGATCCATAGGATTGCGATCCAACTGAATGAAGTCGAAGACGAGCGCGAACTCAAACTGGAACTGGGCTAGTGCATCGTTAAATTGATTTGTGTGTGATCCGATCCGCACAACTAGTTTCCGAGGCCTGAGAAAGAGCTGGTGTTGTGCCGGCCAGAAAAACGAAATAGCTTCTGTTACAATATTTGTTTGAATATTTCAGAAATGCCACTTAAATGCCAGACCTCAGTTTCAGCAGCGCGCTTCCGTTTATGGTAAGTTCTTGGTCTTATCATTGTCATAAGAGAGTTGTAAAGAATCCGGCCAATGTTAATGAGATGGGAATAAATCAAGTTTTATGGCACTAAAAGGCAGACCTGCACAAGTCACAATGCGGCAAGGGCCGTCCGGCAAATGAAGAGCAAATTTACGACAATTCGGAAATTGGCAGCCGCGGGCAACGGTTTTATTCCATTGCCAGGATTGTCATAATTTCGACAGGCCGACAATGGGAAAATGCAGCCAACACCCGCAACTTTCGGGCGCTGGTACCGTTTTCGACCAACTGGCCCTGTCCGCCTGGCCATAGAAATTAAAGTTAACAAATTTCCGACTATGTTTGGACATTTGTGCAACAAAACAGCCAACAAAAAGCCAGAACAAAGCTGCAACAGCCGATGACGCCGAGTACCGTAATTGTGGCTCTTTCGGGTTCTTTTGTCCGCATTCAAAGTTGTCAGATAAACGGGGAGCAGCCAGGAGAGAGCGAGTGCACAGCGGACAGAGGATAACTACACTTGAAACAATACTTATGCCTAAGAAATCTTGATAACACATCCTTGGATTTTTTTACTAGTCCTGAGTGAATCTTTAGTGCAGGCTGTCTTCATTTTCTACAGAACTGTCTACGTACTTCATACCTGAACTTTCAATATATTATAGATAAAGAGTAATGTTGTTTATGAGTAATATAAGCAACTACTGAAAATTTCTAAAAATGTTCCGAGTGCAGTCCTATTAAAGATCGCTTAGCTGACAATGCAGCTCCTAGGAAGCCGTTCCAGCTTCCTTCCATCAGCCAACGCAGACGCCCCAAAGGCCTAAAAGTTGCCGCCAACTTCCAATTGCCAAACATTTCTGGCTCGTCCACTCCTGGCCTTCCCTATTTCGCGGATTGCTTTGGGATTCGGCGGATGGCAGGAGGAGTCTTTGGCTACGATCTGCGAATGTGTGTAGAGTTAAGTTGTCGTCGCCGTTGTTCGATGAATCGTGATTTTGTCAATTGGGGCTCAAATTTTTTGTGCTCGGGTTCCTTTGTGCATGTGGAAATGTGGCACGTTGGCGTGGTACTGGGAACTACTAGCTTGGGTGTGGGAAAGGCAATTAGAGCGAAGGAAAGTGCCGTCTGGTTCTAAATCGAATGGGAACAGAGCAAATGCACCGTTCTCCACGTAGGATTTTTAGTTCTTAGTATTATCGCAAGAAATACTACCTGGGTTTTAGTGAACCTAACTGCCTATAATATTACTGCCATAGTGTCCTCCAAGTTCAGATTAATCAAATAAAAGGTAAATACGCCCAACGCGTATACTTAATCGTTTAAAAGTATGTAACAGATATCTGCTTAGCTAAGAATTTTTATTGGCTTTCTATACTTGAATAATTGTCAATCATCTAATTGTCCGTCATACTCCATACAAATGTTCGGCTTTCAGTGCATTTTACCACAATTTACCACAATTTGCATTTAAACTCCTACCTAAAATGAGTAAAACTTGCATTTCTACAACTACTTACATCTGACACACAAAACCATCGACTGTTAAGTAAACAAAACAGTGACTGACGGAAGGCGAGATTTGAAATCAAATATTGAAGAGTTATGGGCAAAGTGAAGAGGCCGAGACACAAGTTAACACTTTTTGGAGGAACTCTGAAATTAAGCAGCGATCGGATCTCTCGCACTTGGCCAGAATGATCACTGATCACACAAACGGAACGGTTTTCGGTTTGTTTGCCTTTGACAAACAGAAAGGCAAAAGGGAGAACAGAAACGAATCCCAAATAAATCAACACATGCCACAAATGTATAAAAGATGTGAAGGCACCTCGACTGCGGCTGCAGGCCTCATAATCATATTGATGTATTACAATAGTTTGTGGAAATACCAACTCAGCTCGGCTCTTTCAGTTGTAAAAAGCGCTCGTAAAACCTACAAAAACATGGCTGAGAATGCGCCCAACAGATACAAAGGCCAAATGAGCAAATGAGCTGGGGAATAAGGAAAGCCTGGCCAGAATGCCTTGGCCGACAGATAAATAATGGAAATGCATACTAATTGAATGGTGAGAATGCCGTCGAGTCTGCGTTCTAACCGCTGCCTAATTATTTGCACTCCAGAGATCTCAGATTGCATCGCATCTTGTTTATGTATCATCATCAGCATCCCAACAAGATGTTAATTATGAAGGAGATGAGTGTGTCTAATTGTGTATGTCAATATATTGGGGCTTTCAGCTCTGTGTGATGGTTTAGTTTTGCTTTTTTGTTTAACATTTCGACATTAATTGATTCCAATGAGACGATAATTACCGGAGAAAAGCGCCGTTCACAACAGCAAAGGAAACAACGACGAAACCGATATTAATGAAATGATTTTTCATAATTAATGAAATTTAATGCAGACCCAGAAATCAACGTTCAGCTCTCAGCGCCGAACAGAAGTTCCCACATCATTAATAAAAAGTAAGCCCAAGCCGAGAGACACACACGATGTGGCCCCTTGGCGCTACCAAAAGCTGAAATTCAAACGAACTCGAGCAGCAGATACAGAGTTACAAATGTATCTACAAGTCGACAAATTATGCAGCGACAAGCAAGCGCAACGTTTCGAGTTGGTGATTCCTTCTTATCGCTGGCCTGTTCTTCTGGGGTTTCCTTGGTTTTTGGTGTTTTGCTTTTGCTTTTTGGTGAAAATAAATTATAAACAGTTTGGAAATAAAGTCCAACGTTTTGTCCGCTGTCCGTTTAGTGGAAATTTATTGGATGCTAGGGTTTACCTCTGATCTACGGCCAGATTAGGCTGCTCTATGGCCGCTCAGCAGCTTCACACTCTATTAGCTGCAGCTGAGCAGCCACTTTTCTATCGAGCGGCTGCATCTTAATACCTTATCGATTTTATCTCATTTGCATAGTCCACAAAACAGATAAAGCCTGTATCTACTGAGCTTCTTCAGTTGCCGTGCCTCAAAATGTTCTCAGCTCATAAAATTCCATAGTGAGTCATGGCCAGTCCATGGCCCCTTCCTCGGGTTTCCGAGTCCCAAAGACTCAAACTCCAGACTGGAAGCTCCGATCTCTGTGGCTTGCCTGCATTTCATTTGTTGTGTAATTCCCTTCAATGTACTGTGGTTGCCACGGATTTCTTGTCTTCGCTTTTGAATTTGATTCTTGATTTTATGTCAGTTTATTTATGATAAGATGACCCTTTTTCTCCTTTTTTCCTTTTTCCTCCGGCTTCGTCTTTCCCTCGCTCTTATTTTTCATTTTTTGTTTTGCCAAAAAAAGAGTTTTGTTTCTCTAGTTCTCACTCAGTATCGCTGCATGAATGAATGGATGAATGAAGCTCATTAAATTATGGATCACTTATGTATGTGAGGGGCTGGGAATCTGCTTGGAGAAGATATTGAAATAGGAGTAGGATGCACTGGGAGATATCAAGCGGTATTAAAATGCCTGATAAATCTAAAAGAAAATAAACCTTCCATTGTTTTATTTAGCAATGATTGTGAAAGGCATGCTAGTTTTAAGACCCCTCGCAATAGTCATGAGTGATTAAATAAATGTATCGTTTCAAATAAGGCTCGAAAATATTTGTATTACTTGCATTTTGTAACCTTGCAGCTTGCTTTTTCTCTCACTGCACGATTTATAAATTTATCCCCGAATAAAACCCTTCTTCGAGCAAGTACAAAGCTACAATTTCCGATCATGAGACGGCCAAGACCATTCAAATCCTCGAGCAACCTCGGCTTACTATTTTGGATTTCGAATCGGAGCGGAGATTTGTGTGCTGCTGCCTTTGCTTCTTTTTACAGCAGATTTTCAAGATCAACAACGCAGCGTCACGAGAAGAGATGAAAAGCGAGATCTTTTATGGCGATTAGTGCAGACAATGAATGCACGATGGATTCGAAAAAACTGACAACACAGAAACAGACAAAAAATAATACAAATAAAAACTAAAAAGAACATTTTCTAACCGGAGTGACAGAGACGGAGACGGAGACAAGCCAACCAGAATGGGAACAAGAACACTAAGTTGTTGATCTTTTTTCTTACTCCGGTTATATATAATTCGTTTTATGAGAATTGAGCCAAACAATTTTCAACGCGCCCAGACAAAGGCATAAATGCCTGGGACACTTCATTTTGTCTTTTATACTTCTTCCTTTTTACGGGCTTTTTAAGGCAATATTACTGTCAACGAGTGTTCTCATTGCCTGTGTGTATCCAAACATAATTGAAATGCCTCCTCAATGGGTTAATTTGGTGTGGAGCAAGGGGCAAACGTAAACACAATTAGGTGCCAAAAAAGAAAGAAAAACGAGGGAAGATCTCCGATCTCCGATCTCCACTTACGGGCATCTCCACACGGGCCAAGATGAAATGACAAAATCTAGAGTAAACCAACTTGATAAACAAACAAAGTGGACGATCATCGATGATGGTCTGTTTGCGGCCAAGTGTGTGCGACGACCTAACAAAATATTGTTTTAGTGCATTTTAATGGCCTAACCCTCGAGATCATCGGCCCGATGCATCTTTGCCGCAATAGACTTTCTGGTAAGCGACACGGCATTGCACCATTGCCCACCGGGGGCTCCATTTCCCCTCCTGCTGGCCTAATGAATCGCCAGTTTGAATGCGGAGCTTACACTAGGCTGAACAATTGTTTCTAATGGCCGGGAAGCTTTTCACTTAGCCGACCTTGCACTTTCATCAAATAGCGTACTATTGGCGGAGGTTTTATCTATTTAAATCAATCACTTCAGCTTCGCTTGAATAGAGTTCACACGCTGAGTAGTAAGAACTCTGTTCTTTATAGAGTACACACATGTCCTGATTGGGTCCGGCATCATGGCAGTCTCCCCTATGAATGTAGCCTTTTTTCCCAGTGCAGAGTTGCTTAATTAGGCAGCTCAGCGACGGAGTGCCGACCTGGACGCCGTCTCCTCGCCTATTTCTCCTTTAGTACCGCCGCTCAGTTAGTAAATCAGACAGATACGCACTAGGCGGGCAGGCAACTTCATTAACAGCCTCTCGGTCGGCCGTTTAAAAAGTAGAAATAAAGTATTATTTATGATTATTGTGAGAATTTCACAATGGCATGCGAGAATTTATTGTTTGAGCTCTGCAGCTTCACTCGTGCGGCGTGTGAGATGTTGTAATTTCTATTAGATGCAGCACTTTGCAGTATCTTATGCACATTATTTTCTAGTTACAATGTCGTACATATGCTGGTGCTGATTGGGGTTTGCAAAATAAGACAGTAAATTGGAAGTTGGTATAGAAATACAGCACTGCACGCAGAGAAAAATAGTCATTTTAAATCCAGCCTTTGATGCGTGTTAATTCAATGACTAAACAAAACCTAACCTAATTAATTTTTGAAATACAAATGGATTCCCCTTAAAATACCCTTCATTAGTTTTGGAAATATGTTATTTCGCTTGTGAAAGAAGACTTCAAATTGGTGCCCCGATCCCAAATTAGGCTTTCATATTTTAGGCGCATACTCATCCCATGGTTTCCACTGTACTTCCATGTTAACAGACTCCAAAAATATCAGTGAACAGCTAAGAAAACAATTTTCTGACTTTACATATTCCGCTTAAATGGACATTTTCTTCGCAGTGCAGTCGTAAATATTTGGCTTTCTTTCTTGGCTGATTATTGTTTGTCTGTTTTGTGCCACTTGTCTGCTATGAAGCTGCATTTTTACGCCAAAATAGCATCTAAATCGATTGATGAGTTCCAAAAAACTTCGAAAAAGAAACCCATCCCACACTCAATTAAAAAACATTTGTATTTAGAATTCATTCATAAAAATTTTTTATTTTTTTTCATATTTT